GCAGAGAGGCCAGTTGTGAGGCTACTGCAATAATCCTCAGAGAAGGGATGAGGGGCCAAACCACGGCAGTAATGAAGGTTATGGGACACAGAGGAAAGGGCAGATTCGAGAGAGCCTGAAAAGATAGTCTCTATATAAAATGTAGAGGTTGAAGAAGACAAAGAAGTTGTTCTACATTTTAAACTTGGTGAAACAGGTTTCATTCATTGAGATAAACACAGAAGGAATATGCTGGATTGAAATTGGGGAAGTGACGTTTTGAACTTGAGTTAAAAATACTTGCAACACATGTCAGGTAAGATTTCAAGGCTGGAGATGCAGATTTCCAAAGGAATCAATGGCATATAGGTGGTAATAGAAGAAAATAGAGGATAAGCTGCCACATGGCAAATGTGAAGAGTGAGCAGAGGGCTGAGGGCCGAATTCTAGGGGATGCTAAGGTTTGAGAGGAAGGGAGGACCGTAAAGAGAAGTCCAATACAGAGCAGCTGGACAAGAAAGAAAATTAGGAGAAAGGGATAACTCAGAGAACAGGTGGGCAACATGTTAAGGTACAGAGAGTGATCAAGGATACCAAATGCTGTGCAAAGTTCAATTAGTGATAGAGAATTCTAGATAATGGACCTGGTGGTCAATGGACCACCAACAGAGGTGGTTATTAGGAGAGGATGAAAGTACAGGGTGTTGAAGATGAAAGGAAAGTTGTGAGGTGCAGGATACATTCGAGGACCTGTCCTTCAAGGAGCTGCCTGCTAAGACCAGGAATGATATGAGACATACCCAAACCTAGAGAGAAGGGATCAAAGAGATTTTGTTGATCGTTTTCTGTTTTTATAAAGAATAAGAAAGACTTATGTACGTATATATGCTGAAAGAAAAGGATCATTGAGACCCTGAAGAAAATGAAGCAAGGTCCCTGAGGAAGCAAGAGGGATTAGCCTCAGACTAGAAGAAGGGAAAGGAAGAAAAGGAATGGAAAGAAAGCCAGCCATTTATAAGGAACACAGATCATCACTGCAAAACCATTTTTCCTTAATTAGAAATATAAATGCAATATAGTTATCCATGAAGGCTTTCTCTTTCTTTAATAGTACTACTTATCATGTATAAAATCAGATAAGTGCTCTGCATGGGAAGAAGTCACTCGAGCTCCAGATCTGTGGTCTTGGTAGATTACCAAGCTTTTCACACACCTTCAGATTGTGCCGAAACATTACCTCAGTTGATACTCATCACCTGCAGAGCCACAGGGGTTGTTAACACCTAATGGCCTCTCTGACTTGCTGGTTTCTGTGCATACTGATAGGTAAATATTTTCAGTGTCACCATGTGTCACCTCACAGCGTGGTGTAAGAAAAAGCAGGGCCTGGGGGTCAGACACCAAACAGATTCATCTGCCACTTATCAACTCTGCAGACTCAATCAAGTTATGTAACTTCCCTAAGCTTCAGTTTTCCCAATAAGGGTATATAATCCTCACCTTTCAGGATTCCACTAAGGTTGAAATAAGATGATCAATAAGTGATAACTATGATGATGATGACTGTATTCACTTTGTCCTGAATCTCCTAGGAACTGGGTGCTGATAATGAATTGGTGCTTTGCAATTGCTAGCATTTTGATCCCTAAGGTGAATTAAAGAATCGATCCTAGCATCAGGAAGGAATCTTGAAAATCCATATGGCCACCTAATGTTTGCATCCTTTCCTCATCTCAGTGCATATGCAGTTTCTGCCCACAAACTGCCTGGGCTTTATACCTGCGCCACAAATCACCAGCTACTCAACCTTTCTAGGCTTCAGTTTTGTTCTTCTGTAAAACTGGAGTAATGAGGGTATGTACTTCATAGCACTGTTTTGAGAATAAAGGAGAAAATGCATATAATTAAATAAGATATTGTCTTGTGTAGGCTATACTTACACGTGTTTAGTAATGGGGGCCTATCACCTCCTGAAACAGCACAATCTATTATGGGGCAACTTTCTGTATACTGACCCAAAGCCTGTATTCCTGAAACATCCCCATTGGTCCTAGCTTTACAGTCCATGGGAGTAGTTTCATGGAATCAGAATGAGGGTTTCATATAGCAGTATGTTTACACCTTTACTCAGCTTGGCTAGGTGCACTGTGCAGTGTTCCACATATGGCTGGCTGCTTGGGAACACAATCTGGGCTGGACCTCTCAATATTTACATTACTGTGAAAGTGTCAGCCTTCAGTGGCGTTTCCAAATGCAGGAGGCCTTTTTGAGCACTCTAAGTGAGCTGGATGCTACCCAGGAACACACTGGTTATATTGCTTTCAAGATTTATTTTGCACTTTGTGTCATAGTCAGTTCAGCACTTGGCACCATATGTAATTATTGCAGGTATCTATATATCCTTTAGGTTCTATTATTGAACACTGCAGTCCACCAATGCTCAGAACCCTAGCTGGGTTCAACTCAGAAGCAGCAGTACTATAAGAGCACTGACATAAAGTCAACAAATTGGCCCCGAAATTCACTCACATCACCCTTCCCTCATCCTTATATTCCTATTAATATCTATTGAAATCTTATCCAAATCCTTTCAGTAATTACCTCAAACAACTGTCATTCTAGGAAGATCCCCTCCACTCCCTAGCAGAAGATTTTTTTTCCTTCTGAGCTCTGCTAGACCTTTGTTTCTGGGATATGTCTGTTATTTTTCCTGCAAGGCTATAAACTCCTTCCCAGCAGAAACAGTGCCTTGTACAAAATAAGGCTTACTAAAGAATTAAATTTGGTCTTGAAAACAATGGGATGTGGCAGACTCTTCCCCACATCATCTTTCACCCTCAGATGGGTCCCCAGATATTTTTTTAATTTACAAGGATGCTTTTAAATGAAAAGCTTGAGCAGCCCTGCAATAAATACAGTCTGAAATTTTACAGCTGATTAGCTGAACTTTTATATAACTCATAACTTTAGCCTAATTGTTTGACGTATAAAATACTGGCATAAAGCCTGAATGCCTTTTTTGCTTAATACTGGGGCCCATCACTCCACCTTAAAATAACTACAGGCTTCCTAATTCCAACTCACAACTGCCAGACTCCATCATTATGCCAACTCTGGGAAATGCCGAGTCCTCAGAATTTTCACAGCTGATGAATGGAGAAGCTGATTAGAACCACTGAAGAAAAGTGGGGGGAAAAATACCCTTGACAGACGCCTCCTTCAAATGTCTGTCCCTTTTATCCAGTGTCAACATGAATTTCTAAGTTAACAAATATTTATTGAGGTCATGACTATGTGTCAGGCTGTGAGTTAGGCTCTGGAGACTCAGTGGCGAGCCAGAGTCAATATCAAAGCCCAACATTAAAAAAAAAAAAAAATCATTCTTACATTTATTCACTTTACAGGTATATTTATCAAGTGCTTCCTATGGCCAAGGGCCAGTAGACAGAATATAAGGTACATCAGTGCCCTGAAGGAACTTGCTATCTAGTTAATAAAGCAAGAATGAAGCGCACAACAGTGTAAGAAAGGATCCAATGGTCTAGAAGAACGACGCAAACACAAGTGCAGAAAGAACCAATGAGAGTAACATGATCAGGGCAGGCTGACTTGAACTTGAAGAATGTGGTTAGGTCAGAGAAAAAAAAAGAAAAGAGACACTCTAAAAGGCAGGGTATGAACGAAAGAGGACACATAAAAATGAGCATGTCATCTTAGAAGGGCAGTGAGATCCAACTAGTAGGAACAGAAGGTTCATGTTGGAAAGAAGTAGAAAATAAAGTTGGTAAGTTAATTTGGGGCAAGACTGTGAGGTACATTAAAACCAGGTTGAGAGGCTACGCAATGGTTGGGGGTGGGGGGCATGAAAATTATTTGCACTATGGTGCAAAACTAAACAATGCTAAAGTATTGTTTCTGTGAAACAATCCTTGGAAAAGAGTCCTGAGGGAAGAGTTTTAGGAAGGTTGATGTGCTGGAAGTAGGTAGAATGCAGAAAACTCAATTACAGAGAGACCAAGATGTATCATCATCCTAGAAGCGCTGATGGCTGAGGGTCTCCAATCCAATGAGGGATAGTGAAGAATGAAAAGGAAATATAGGGGCTGACTCAGAGAAACCATTAAAAAGGAAGAGTTAATACAATTTGATACATAGTTTCACAGAGGCAGTGAGAGAGAGAAGAGACAGCAATGGTTCCTAGATCTCCAGTCTGGGTGATGGAGAGAATGCTAAACAGATCAAGAAAAGAAAGTCTTTTCATCATAAAAGGAACAAGTGTAGAGAGAATACGAAGAAAAGTCTGTTATTAAGCATATAGTCTTTGGCTTGAAAGCAGGACAACCACCATAAAAAGTCTATTAATGAAGCAAATAGATAATGGGAATGGAGTTTGGATCTGTACTGGAGATAAAGATTTATATGAAGTAAGGATGGAGAACATCACATTTAAAATTATTTTATTAGAAAATAAAAACACTAGCTATTAAACAAAAATCATAAAAATGATATAAGTAGTAGAGAGAAATATATCTTCATAAGACTATTTTTCTCAGCTATGGTACTTAGGGGATCCTACCCATTACCACAACACTGAAGGAATAAGCTTCTGCAGAAATTCAACATATGGCCTATTTACATAACAAGCATCACAACTCCAAATTAGCCATTTTGATGTGTCAAAGAAATAACACCTTCACAGCACAGTACTTCAGAAAAGGGAAGAAAAAAGAAAGGTTTGTTTTTCTTCTATAATTATGTTTACTGGGTTTTTAACTATTTGTAATATGAAAATCTTAATTGTGTGATTACACTTTAAGGCAAAACAGTGATGAAATGGATTAGTTGAATAATGCACAGTCATTCAGAGATCAATAAACAGACCCAATACTAGTAAAAGCTACTCTTCTGTGCACAGAAATTATTAACAAACATATGATTTAATTATCACAGTCAAATGGCAGTAAAAGTGCTACAGAAGATGACTAGGAAAGAAGTCCTATGAAGCAGTGACTAAGCAGTACCTGTCGAGTGCACACAAAACACATTCCCCTCCTGTCGTCCAGTGGGATAGGTGGTAGCAGCTTAGATCTTACCAATAGCAACCTCAACGTCTTCCATCTTATCCTAACTGTAACCAGAAGCTCTTGTCCCGGCTCACCTCATAAAATGCTGATTAAAACTGTATAAAGTAATAGAATGAAGATGACCATTCATGAATATTCATTGTGAATGATAGCACAATTCTGATCGCAGACTGAGAAACTGACAAATATTTGGATCCAAAGTGAGATATTTCTAAAGCTTAACTTCCGATGTAAAAGATGACCATTTACGTGATAAAAGGGGTCCATGTAAATGCTTCAGATTGGCATGCATTTAAAGACTGCAACGGTGTGGCCTAGGTATTTTCTTTCCCTGATCCTTACTGGTGTGGCAGAGCGGCCTCACAAGCCCACAGATGCCTCTCTCCACAATGGCCTCATGAAAATCAGTTCATGCAGAGAAACTGTTTACTGAAGACTTTCATTAGGGGGCTCCCTAAAACAAAATGAATACAAAAAGAGTCTTGATCATTTTGCCTGTCTAAATGAGCATATTAAACTAAGTTGATTCTTAGAAAATCATTTAATATTTTCAAGGATTAAAGAAAGAAAATTGCCAATTAATACACTCTTCCCAGATGTTCAGTTTTTACTAACCTCTTTATTCTCTGTATTCAAGTGGTTGTATTTTTATGCAAACTATCTTTTGGGGGGCTAGTCTCTAGTTTGTGTGTCTGTGTGTGTATTTAAAGCCACACCGATACAGAATTTGACATATTTTCTGTTCTGCTGCTCCATACCATAGGTTAACACAGCTTGAGCTTATTCCAGAACTCTAATTAGAAACTGCAGTATTTCCCTTGTCTAAATAGAAAACCATTCCCAAAGTTGATTTTGCCCCAGTTAAATTAAACAAATAATATCATACACAGATATTTTAAACACGACAGTTACTAGATAAAACTGCCCCATCTAGCAACACATTGCTTTCTGGTTAAGCAACACAATTTCATAAGGCCTATCAAATACTTTATCCAGACGCCCACTCTATTTTCAGGGTATCTTTCAAAATAATTAGTTGCATTACTTGAAGTCTTTTTTTTCCCCCCAGAGTGAAGAGGTTTCTAACTTCCTGTCCTTTTCCCTGCCATATTAGAAATCTGCATAAACTCTGGAAAACAGTACCAACCAAAGTGGCGATGAATCCTTCCATTAAGACAAACTAAAGATGTTAAAAAAGGTATACGACCTTACTCTTTCAACTTCTGGTATAAAACCACTTTCTCTGCACAGGTTCTAAAATTTCAGAGTCGTCTGTCTTAAAGTCTGTGGGCTTGTGAGGGGGCTGGTACATATTTTAATATTAAAAAATGAGCAAAGAGGCTGTTTGAAGTTCAAGGATTTTCACTAGTTCTCAAGCTACAAACCCTGTAATACAGTCAAAAGAAAACGTACAGAAAGAATCTTTCATTAAAGTGTCAGGTCTCCAAAACCCTGACATCCGCTAAAACCAGGATTGTGGGGTCCTGAGAAGCTCGTGAAGTTCACAAATACACCAATACTGCAGGAGCCCGAAACCTCCACTCAGGAAGACGCGACACTACCGCCGCCTCCCCGAGCAGGTGAAGTCTCGGCCCTTCAGCCCAGCGTGTCCGGCAGCGCGATCTTCCGAGCGCGCCGGAGTCCAGCAGGAGCGCCTCCCGCGACAGCCCAGTCTCCGGATCGGGTCCGCAGCCCGCGGACTCCGCCCCCACCCTCCCCTGATGCCGCGTCGTGACCGCTTCGTCCCGCGGTCCAGGCGCTAGGCGTCTGCTCCCACCACCTCCGCCCGCCCGCTCAGCACGGACGCCGACCCATCCAGCTCCCACTGGGCGCCAGGGGTGCGGGGGTTCCCGGGGCCGCGGCCCCCGCAACCGGCTGGGATCCGAGGGCTGGGTGGTACTGGCTGACGTGGGCTTTGCAGCTCCGGACCAGAGAGGGGGGCGGTGGGTCTCCCTCCGACTTAGGAGGGGACTGGGGGCGCCCGCGCGGGAGGAGGTCAGGCGAGGCACCGCGGCCGCGGGCGATTCAGATCCGGGGCGGGCGGGTCCACGTCGGAGCGCGGCGGCCACACGCTCGCCCCAGGCGCGCCCCTGTACGTCCCAGCCGGCACCTCCTCCCGCTCGTCCGCGCGGGCCAGAGAAAGGAAGGACGGCGACCTCCGCGTCCGGTCCGCGCCGCCAGCCCGCGTCGGCGCCGAGCGCGGGCCACACCCAGCGCCCTGGGAGGCGGCGGAGGCTGGGCGGCCCGGGCTGCAGAACGCTTGGCCCAGCCGAGTCTCCCTCCCGGACGCGCAGGCCCCGCCGCGTCCCCGCGCCCCGCATCCCCGGCCGGCCCCGCGTGGAGGGGGGTCCCGGGCGGCGGTGGCTGGGGGTCCCGGGCTTACCTCAGTGCCGAGCGCCTGCCGCTCTGTCCCGGGCCGGAGCCGGAGCCGGAGCCGGAGCCGGGGCCCGGGGGCGCGGTCGCCAGGGGAGGCGGCGCGGTGGTGGCGGCCCCTGCTGCTCGGAGGGCGGGCCGAGCGGGAGCCGCTGCCTGGGCCGCGCGCGGTCCGGAGCTCGCCCCGCGCTGCCGGCGCTCGCGGCGGAGGGCGCAGCCAGCTCGGCCCCCGGACTGGATTCCTTCACTGACACAACTCCGGCTCGGCCGCCCCGCGCAGGGACACTCCCGCCCCTCGCTGGCTGCCCCCGCCCGCCGGCCTGCCCGCCCCTCGGTGTCACTCACCAGGCGCACACACCCCAGCCGGCGCCCCTCGCTCCCGCTCGCACACACAGCGCTGCTCACGCCTCTCTCGGGTTTTGTATCCGCTTACACGCACGTTCTGACACAGATCCCGTCCCTCCACACGCCCTCCCTAGCTTCTTTCCCACCCCACTTTCTAGAAGAATCCCCGTACAGCTTCCGCACTTTGCTTGCTTGCCCCACACCAACCTCCTAGCTTTTCCCCAAACCTCCACTTCACCGAAACTCCCCGTTATTGAAAGATTTTGTCGCAATCCGCACGTGTTGCAAGAGAATCATCTTCTCCTACCCGGAAAATGAACTTTGCTTCCCCAGGACTGTCTGCAAATAGGAGATGCTTCTCCTTTTAGAAGGTAGTAATGCTTTCTGGAGAGGAGCCAAGCTCAAAATGTAAACAAAGATAGCCCATTCGAAAATGACCTGAAAAATCAGGCGCGGAAAAAGTGCTGGGGCTCCGTCTGCCCTTAGAAACCCGGCCAATCCCGGGTGTTCCGCCTTCTCCCCGGGTCTGCACTCTGGGCTCCAAACGTGTGTGTAATAACCAAGTTACACATGGGCACCGTGGGCTTCAGCTGTGGGTTACTGCCTGCGAGTACAGTAGTCGGGAGAGTAAAAGCAGTTTCTCAATCATTATTCATGATGGAAGCACTTTAGATAACACTCCTCTTCCAGAGGCAGTAGAGTGAAATGCAGGCAGCTCTGCAATTCAGTTTATTTATTTATTTATTTTTAAGGGTGACTTTTTATTTATTTATTTTTAAGGGTGACTTTTTAGCTTCTTTTTTTTTTTTTTTTCTGAGCGGCTCCTTGGCTGTCAAGCTCCTTATAAATACCAGACCAGAGTCAGTTATGCCTCTCGAGCTCCAGACTCTAATGGGCCCGCGAGTGCACAGCTGAATCGTACATTATCCGATGTTCAGTAATTCATAATTTGAAATAAAATACAAACACCTTTTGGGTAAAGTTCCATTCTGCTAATATAACGTGGCCCGGTGAGCCCTGTTGACAACACAGTGCTGAAATAAGAGAGGAGCTAAAAGGAAAGGAACTCATTTTCTTATGTGACTTGGAGTGGTGGTTCTTGCTGTCATATGGTCGCCTTGGACTGCTGTGTGGATCATATAATTATTTAACAGACGTTAGCAAGTGCTTTGTAAGTACTACCTCATTTAATACTTCAAAGGACCCCATCGGTAGGTACTATTTTTGTCCTGTTTTACAGATAATGAAACTGAGAGCTGCGCACCATGGCTCACACCTATAATTTACCCAACACTTCAGGAGCCCGAGGTGGGTGAATCTCTCGAGCCCTGAAGTTCAGGACCAGCCTCAGCAACATAGTGAAACCCCAAAACAAACAAATAAATAATAATAGTAATAATTAGCCTGGCGTGGTGGTGCATGCCTGTAGTCCCAGCTACTCAGGGGGCGGAGGTGGAAGGATCACCTGAGCCGGGGATGCTGAGGTTGCGGTGAGCCAGAATCACACCCCTGTACTGTAGTGCGGGGAAAGAGAGCCAGAACCTTTAAAAGAAAAAAAGAAGAAAAAAAAAAAGCAAGAAACTGAGGCACAGAGAGGCGAAATAAGTTGCCTAAGTTTTTAGCCAGTAAGTGGTAAAGGAAGGATTTGAACCTAGACAGTTAGACCTCAGTTGTGCTATAGAGAGGAAAGCTTGCTTCCAGAAGCCATGCTACACATACAGAGCAAACATCCTATTGCTTATTAAATTTAGGTGTAATAGGTAACTTACGGCCATTTGAGTTGAAATTTGATGCACTTCTTAGGTCCCTTGGCTAAATAATTTATTTACGTTTTTGGGAGGTTTCCTCTATAATTAGAATTCCGAAATGAATAATAAACTACATTTTTTCCTAGGAAGGGCTTTGGAAATAACACTGAACTCAATCTTCATTCTTCTCTTCCACCACTTCATAATCTTCCCATGACTCCAAATCTAACTTGCTTAGTGAAGTCTGACAGAAAAATGCTTTCAAGAACTGAATATGACCAGAGGGAAGAAAGGGTTTTAAGAAGACGATATACAGCCTTTGTAATAGAAGGCTGCTTCTCAATAAGTACTGTAGATAGGAGCTATAAGAATAAATGCTATATATGTTGAGAGCCAAGATGTTAAAGCAGTGGATCGATGAAAAAACCAACAGAGACTAGGGAGGTAGGGGTAACCACTGTACCACAGACTAGGTTAAAACTCATTCTCTACTGGGAGTGGAGGCCTAGCCCATGAAAAGACAAGTATAGAATAACTCCCTCTGGTCATATTCAGTTCTTGAAAGCATTTTTCCAATCACAGTTTATTTACAAAAACAGGCAGTGGGCTGCATGTGGCCTGTAGGTAGTAATTTGCTGACCTCTTGTCAAGAGAAGGGTAGAGATAGGATGGAAGGAGCCTGGGTCTCTGAGTCACCCTGTGACTATTTCTTATAGACACTCACAAACACCTGATATTAAAACATTTAATATAACCATTTAATATACCTCTGTCTACTTGTTGAACACCCACAATTGTTATCTGAACACCCACAATTGTTATCTGAGTAAAAAAAAAAATCCTTCTGTTGAATGAAGCATGATTAATACATTGTCTTAGCTTATATTCCAGAAAAAAATTTCAGATGGATTAATAATCTGAACATAAAAAGTGTAAAAGACTAAAAGAAAATATAAAAGACTTATAATACTAATTTGAAATATGAAAAAAACTTCAGAAACTATAACCAAAAAATTTAACAGATAAGACTACAAAAAAATTAACATTTCTATCAAGTGAAGGGTGACATAAAAACAGTGTTACCTAAGGGGAGAAAATATATGCAACATATATACACAACAGGAAAGGGTTGATATGCATAACACAGACAGCGACTAGAAGTCAATATGAAAAAAAGCGAAGCAGCAAAATAAGAAAATAGACAATTCTCAAAAGAAGGATTATGTGCTAATAAGCATATGAAAACATACCCAACCTCACCAATGATCAGAGCATAAATAAAAATAGCATGTTATTTGTCAAATTGGCAAAAATATGTTTTAATATCAGGTGTTTGTGTCTATAAGAAATAGGAACATTCATACTTAGCTGACTGGAGTGTGAATTAATAAACATTTTTGGAAAGCAATTTGCAGTACCTATAGATAATAAAACTGCATGTGTCTTTTAACCATACTTTTCCACAAGTGATCTTCTCTCTTACAGAAATTAAGTGTGCAAAAGTATATTTACATATATGTCGATTATAGTATTATTTGTAAGGGCCAAAAAAATTTGGATCACAGTTCCAGGTTTATAAATAGAGGAATGATACATCTATTCCTCTATTTGGGCACATCCACACTATAGAAAAATAAATAGCTGTTTAAAAATGAGGGAGCTATGTATGTGTTGACATGGAAGAGTGTCCATGATATATTTTTGAGTGATAAGAGCAAGTCAGAACACTATGTACAGTATGAGCTCTAAAAAGCAAGGGGGTGGGGGGAGGATGGAAATTTGTGTCTCTTGAAGGATACTCACACTGTTGACCCTGGTAACCACTTAGACCCCTAGGGT